TTCACTCAAAATATGAAACACTTATCGATTCAGAAGACAATCAACACTTCCGGACATTATCTCAACGATTGGATCAATTGAATGACAATTACATTAAATGTGAATCTAATTTTCAACTGAAGAATCCATTAAATGATAAACAATTGAATACCAGAATCCATGGCATAAAAGAGTTGCAAACAATACATGAAAACGAAGATAATGTCCGACTCAAGAGTGGATCAAATGGTAGACAATTAAGAAAACGTAAAACACAAGAAGTAATTCAAGAAATGAATGAATTAAACGAAGACTCGGATGAGAGTTATGCCGAAGACATGAGTGAAGAATCAGATGATAGTTATGTCGAAACGAAGAGAAGGAAAAGCAATGAAAGACAAGAAGTGGTGACAAAAGCGGATTCAGAGGAAGCGATGACTCGATTATTACAACAAAACCCGTCGAAAATGAAGAAATGTTTTGACGCGAAGACAAAGAGATATATTTGTCCCATAAATGAGTGCCACAAGAGTTACCCCAAAAGAAAGACACTTTCGTGGCATTTGAAAGCATACCATTCCGACCGACGATTTATCTGCGAATCCATTGGTTGTGGCAAAGAGTTTAAGTCTAAGTTTCTCCTCAAAAGTCATTCACTCGTTCACACGAGTGATAAGCCGTTTAAATGCGATTACAATGACTGCCAGTTTGTCGCCAAAAATAGAAATCGGTTGTTATCTCATATGAAGACACACACGACAGACAACACATCATTTGAATGCTCAGTCAATGGATGTCTGAAGACATTCAAGAGTCGCTGTGGTCTTAGACATCACTGGCAGACAGTTCACAGCCCAACGCCCGCGCAGTTTAAGTGCACTATCGATGGCTGCAGTGAAGTGTTTGCGAGTTATAGGCGTCGGCGGACACACGAGGCCAGAGTTCACGGCCAAAAACCGTTGCCTAAACAGAATCATCCGATACAACCATGTGATTGGCCCGGGTGTGAGTGGGCGGGCACTCAACTGACCCGACATAAGTGGTCACATACGGGTGAGAAGCCGTACCCGTGTTTATGGCCAGAGTGTGGCAAACGGTTCACACGTAAATCCTTTCTGGTAGAGCACGAGTACATCCATAACAATCTTAAGCCCTATGTGTGTCATTGGCCCGGATGTGGCTATAGTTACGCCAGTAATGCCAATCTTCACAGTCATATCAAACGCTTCCATACGAAGACATTAAACAATTAATTTGTAATTTAATATAAAAATAAAGTTTATTTAATTCACATTTTTATTTTCTTTCGAGACTTATTCATAGTTTATATGAATTTTGAATACAAAATAGAAATTAAACTAAATTAACGCAAATTTGTTATCATTTTTTCTAATAACCATTAATTCAAACAAAACAATACAGTATTTTATAAACTTTTTATTGAATAAAACTTTGTTTTATTGAGATTTCAATAGTTTTTGTGTCAAAAAATCACTTTCAATGGTATCCAAAATTAGTGATCCAATGATTAGGATTCACGACTTTGAGCGAAAGATATCTTCCTTTTACAGGTCATATGTTGAGCTCTGTGTCCGCAATCAATGATCGCTAAGTACTTCGGGATTTGACCATTCATTTCCTCCAATTCGGTCACAATTCTTGTCTTGTATTCAGAGAGTAGACCCAATCGAAAGATTCGGCTCCTATTGGCCAGAATTGTGGTCACCAGTGTATGTATTTCATAGCTGTGACGGATATCTAGATGAATGCAGAGCTGATCCAAATGTACGACCGAATGCATTGCGCTGAAGACATCTCTTTTGTCTCTTCTGTCCATATTGTTGCCGAGTGTCAGGCGTTTTAGTTTCAATAGGTCTGCCATTGGATTCATGAATATCTTAAAACATCCCTTTAGACACTCTTTAATCATTTGATTAGACCGACAATCGATGTGACAATTGATGGCATCCAGAGATAAATGGCGCAAATTTGGGACAATTGATGCAATATTTGCCATCATTTCGGGCGAGCACTCGATGCCATACAGACTCAGTGATCGAAGAGTTGTCAACGGATTCATGCATTCAGTCATTGAATTGGTGTCAAAGATCATCGGTTCAGTTGGATGTGATTCAAGCGCCAGATGTTTAATGTGGGATAACTTTGTGATGTTTTCCGCAAATTCTTCGCAGGGAATATCTCCCAAAGGAATGGTTAATCTCTTGAGATTCTTCAGACGATCGCAAATAATGAGAAACCATTCGCCAAATGCATTGTCTTCACTGATCTCGTCGTCTTTCTCGATGTGAGAACTGAGTGATAATTCTTCCAATTGTTGGCATTTTGTGGTTAGACTATCGATGGATTGCGTGTCAAAAGTATTTCTCATTACTTTCAATGACCGTATGTTTGCGGGCAGACAATCGACGAGTAGATCCGATGAAATCTTCATACCATAGATCGCCAGCTTTTGAAGTGATGTCAACTGCCGTATGATATCTGCCATAAAAGCTACAAACTCTTCATCGAGACATGCGATTACAAAGTGTCTGACATTTCTCAACAGTTGTGCCCATTCTGTTGCTGTTCTCGTCTCTGATGTGAAACAGAAGCCTAAGAAGTAGATCTCCTGAAGAAACGGTGAACTGTTGACAATCAGTTCCAGTCCTTCGGAATTAATTTGACAGAATTGGAGGTATAGTCTCTTAAGACATCGAAACTGTTCCAGAATTGGTTTCAATTGATCCCAATGTTTGCCACGACTCGCACCACCGATGTCTTCTAAATCAATAGATCCAGTGATTGATTTGAAGAGCCGTTCGGCTTCGGAGTACTTTTCCATTCGTATGGGTCTAATGGCCAGCGATTGTGTCCTCTGAAGCACTTCTTGTGAGCAACAACTGAATTGTTGTGACACTCTTTGCAAACGGAACAACTCTTTGATGTCCAAACGGCCTAATATGAGACACAGTATGTCATCGCACATGACATCACTTCCTCCCAAACCGATTTCATTCATTCCTCTACTCTTTGTTTGTCTCAAAACTTCTTAGTGTTTCTTTGGAAAAGATTTGATTTACAATTTTGACTGATTTTATGATACAATTAACGGTTTAAGTGATAAATATTTAAATCTATAAATTGTAATAAAAGTGCGAGAAATTTATTTTATTGTTTAAATCATTGAAATAATGTATTTAATTGTTTGCAAACATTTTTAACGAAACAAAAATAATTTATTTTTAACTGTAAATAACTATTTAAATACACAACTGATTAGATTGTAATCACAATTAGGCATAATTCACATCAAATAATATATACATCACAACAAATCAGAGGTCAGGTCCGGAACGAGTGGCCAAATAAGTGCCCGAAACGTCTGTCAGTTTCGGCGAATGGATATTAGTTCGGGCTTTGAATCGTTTGCCCCCGACTTCGACCTCAAACTTGGACTTCAATATGAAATCATTTGAAACGATCNTAGTTCGGGCTTTGAATCGTTTGCCCCCGACTTCGACCTCAAACTTGGACTTCAATATGAAATCATTTGAAACGATCTCATTGTGCGGATGGCGTATGAATCCGAGGCACACGTGTCGGCCCAAAGTAAACCCATAGCCGGTGGTTGTGGTCAGACCCACTGGCGTACGGCTGTCGTACTGCGGGTCGCATATGAATATGGGTTCTCCACCCCACGGCCACACCTGACACTTGTCGTCAAAGTCGTCCAGCAGTAGCTGTACGTAACGGCGCCGCACCCCCTCCTCCCGCTGTCTCAGTAGCGCCCGTTTGCCCAAAAAGTCTTTGTCAAACTTGACTCGAAAAGCGCGGCCGCACTCTAACGGTGTGGTCGTTGTGTCCAAATCCTGACCCCAGAAGGCGAAGAACTTCTCGATCCGCAGCGTTCGCATCGCTATACTGCCCGCGTGTCGCATGTCGTACCGCTGGCCCACCCGTACCAGCATATCGTACACGTGTCCGGCGTTATCGTTGGGTAAGTACAGAACCCAACCCAACTCTCCCGTATGGGTCAGATTGCAGACCCGAACCTCTGGCGCCAAACCGATGGCCAACTCTTTATACGTGAAGAATGGAAATGTGTTCAGTTCTGAGGGATCGGCCAACACTTCGCTCAGCACTAGTTTAGAGAGCGGACCCATCAGACAAAGGGTCGTGTATTGGCCCGATATGTCGCGGATGTCAACCACGGAGTCTAAGTCATGCGATTTGATCCACGATATGCAACGAGACTGTTGTTCGGTCGGTCCGATCAGCATATAGTGGTTGTCAGCCATCCGTAAGAGCGACACGTCGTTCTCATAGCCGCCCCTTTCATTCTGCATACCTGTGCCATAGTATTCGCCATTAGTTATTATATTACGCGAGAAATCTTAGGCAAATATCTATGTTGTACTGACCCGTGTGGACAATAGATCCCACATTGATGTCCACATCATTAGAGCACAAGTACTGCAACAGTTCCACCACTTCGTCGCCCTGCGATCGGAGCTCAAGTTTACTGAAACTACAGTAATCGAGAAGTGCAACCCTTTCCCGACACGCCTGGTATTCCTGATGCACGGCATCCAACCAATGCGGGCGACCGAACGACTGAGTCTCCAGGTATCGGTGCCGTAACGGCTCGTTTGATTGGCTCTCGCTGTCCGACAGCCCGGACTGATAGTCGTCCAGCTCTACGGCTCCCATATAGACGGCGGGCCTCTCGTAGCCCATGATCTGCTGAAAGAGAGCGCCCGCCTGTTTGAACCGCGGATACAGTGGACTCGTGCGCAACCCGTGACCGGTCTGGTAGTCGTTATGCGGCGCCGGATAGTTGACGTTATAGCGGGCCTTCGCCGGCACCTCCCGGAGCCGATCGAACAGAAATATGCGATTACTTTGCGATGGTATGAACCGCCGCGGATCTAATGACCAAAAATCGTGACCAAACGTGTTGTCGCTTTTGGTAATAATATCGGTGATGAGACGACCGGCGCCGGCGGCCAATTGTGGCGCCACCGCCGCGGCCAACAAGTAATTGCCAATTTCGGGCACTTCGCCAATCAGTGAGCGGCCGTCGGGCGTAAAGTTCTCGAGTCTGGCCACCAGTTTGTGGAGTTTGGCGCCGCTTAGCGCCGGAATGCGCTCTTGTATTGGCTTCAATATGCGGTAGAAATCGTCCCAATTTACATACACTTCAGGTATTTCTGTATTCATTCCTCCGTTTCTGTCGTTTTCGGTCAAAACTTGTAATCAAAAATCAAAGGCATATAAAAGTAATCATTAGTTTTAAGACATATTTCTGAGAAACAGAATGAGAGAGAGAGAGA